GCCAATCAAGCTTCAAAAATCTCCGGCTTTATTTCAAAAGTCGTAGACTGCTTGATAAATCAACTTATTTGAGATTATGTGTACAAGTTATTATTTCGAGCAGGTTTCCTATTGAAATGCATCGGTTTCCGAGACGACTTGGCTTTTCTCAGAACTCTTTGAATTAGACTCCGTCCCACGAAGCCAGCGAGTGCGAGTTTTGGCATCGGCTCGGGTCTTGAGAACTTGGGCTTCATCCTGCAACCTATAGTGACCAAGACGAAGACACTCTCGGAGAACCGTACTGTCCATAATCTTTGTCAATGAATCTGCCATTTGGGCCCCAGTTGGAACCCACCTAATCATCACACCAGTTGCTAAGTGTTCTCGGATCAGTTTGGCCTGCAACAGTGTACGAAATTCTGAGCATGCTGGCTGCGCAGTCCTACTGATTATATCATATAAACTCTTGCAATCAGTGCTGATGATACTTTCGGCAAGACTCATCTTTTTGCTGATTTCATGAGTGCGCATTAAGGACTCATTTGGTTCATCGCTATCGTCTTCATCTTTCAGTGCGGTGAAAGCAGGTGGAAGGCGCAACAAGGTTTGGTCACCCAACTGCCATTGACATGAATTATCAACTAACCATGCCCAAAAGAGTCTAGCCCAGGCTAAGGTATCAACTGCACTTGCTAAGGCCATTGCCTCTGCTGACAGCGTGCTCACTGCTACTTTCTGTATCTTGCGAGAGGACCACAGGATTGGATTGACCGGGCTACTCTGATTTTCTCCAATGCTTTTATGTGCTGTCATCAAAAGCATTCCTTTGTGAGAGGAGTGATTCTTGTTGGAAGCAAAGGCCGCATCAGAGAAAGATACAAAACGAATCTCATGCAGTGGTATCGGTTGGATTCGCAACGCTGTGTCTGCATGTCTCTTGGCCTCTTGTAGAGTTCGATTTCCATCCATCAAAGTTTGAACAACAGCATGATTGATTTGGCTCTGAAGAAATGACAATCTACTTCCCAAGTCAGGTCTACTGTTTGTTGAGGCATATTGCAAACTTCCAATTAGCCCACGCAATTGTTGACGCTCATCTTCAGTCACAGGTTGTTGAGGATCATGTCGACGTTGAGGTTGTACATGTATTGGTTCAATGGCTTTTACATATTTTGATTGGTCCACTGTAATAGAATAGTCTTGATGTTGTTGAATATGTAGCCCTGTGAAAATGAAGTCTCTGGTTTTGCGACTGCCAAAAGGATATTTCTCTTCAAGCAACTTCAGTTTTGCATGAAATTCAGGTGTACCACAACACAGCCCATCGTCAACGTGTATGCCAATCAATCCACACGTTTTGCCCTTCTTGTCCTGCAGTGTAAAAAGGCATGGGTCAAAGGGAGATTGAGTAAATTGTAACTCCAATAATCCCTTTTGGAATTCACGAAACCACAAAAGCGGAGCATCAACTCTTCCGTATGCACCTTTGAGGAGTTGTACAATCTCATGATCAGCTAGCTTCATCTTGGTGCGCAGTTCAGGCGGAGGTTCTAAACCTAGCTGACGAGAATCATCACTCCCTCGCAGGAATGCAGTGCGAATATCAAAGCTTCCAATATCCCAGCCAGAGCTTGCAGCAAATTGGAGAATGAGCATTCTTGCCAGTTTGGATAGTGTTGGACTATCTCTGTCAAGTTCACAAAGTTGTGGATCCTCATATCCCAATACAATCAATCTGGCCTTTGGAGTTTTCGTGGTCTTATTGATCTCCCCCATGTCTTTCCATGTCAACAACCAACGACAGCGAAGCACATTCTCCTTTGGGATTTGTTGCCTGCAAATTCGCTGAATGGTTCCAGTGTCAAGCCATGACTGCAACTCTTTGTTCTTGGCAGCATCAAACAACTTGCGGTCTTCGTTTGACAGATCTTTAAGTTTGATCTCACTACGTTGTTTCTTGGCGGCCGACACAAGAAGTGCTACTTGTTCTTCCTCATCAGTTTGACACATCTTTGAGATCTCATTGACATCCAATTCAATTTGCATCGACCAGCATTGATCACTATTTACCTGTAAGGCTTCACAAACCAGCTCATCATCATCATCGTCAGGTACAGGAATCTCAATGTGATCATTTTCATGTTGTATGTTCTCTTCAAGGTCTTCGGTGTTAACAATTGAAGGACTGCCAATTGATGGTTCAGGCTCAGTGGAATCTCTTCTGGAACCAGGCTGCGACAAGACTTCAGGATTTGCCCCTTGCGTTGGAGCAGGCATGTCACCAAAACTTTCGTTCAACTCTGGCCTACCTATCGGTTTCTCCTCTTTTGGATTGGACCATGTTTTCTCGAGGGACACTTCTTCTACAGCGGACAGTGGTCTGACTTGTTCAGGTGCTCCACGATAAAGTCGATTTCCAAAAACTGCCCACACACATGTATCTCCTTCTTGTTGGATTACCCTCATAGGACCTATCCATTTCTTATTATCCCTCCATAACATTATCCAATCCCCTGGTTGATATCGTCCCCTATTAGGTCTTGTTCTTTGAAGGAGAGCTCTCCGACAGGCTTGATCATTGTCCACTTTGACAAACGCTTGACGTGCATGTTCCCGCCTGGACAATTCTGCTCTAAAGCGGATGCCTTCTGGACTGTCAGTTCTGGCCAACTCATGTGCTGAACAGGTGTCATCACTGACAACTGAACCAGGTTGTCTCTGAAGTTTTCCAAAAACCAAAACTTCAGGTGGATATCCACGATGTCTGGACCACTGATTCTTTGTTTGAGTTGCATACACCAAGGCCTGTTCAAGCTGATCATAAGACGTAATGGGATCTTCTAAATCCATCTTTGTCAGAATTTGTTGTAAAATCCCTCCATGGCGTTCGCAACGACTATTCTGCCAGTGAGCTTCCGGTGGAATAATACGAAGTTTGATTCCATGTTTCTGTGAAAAGTCTTGTATAGTGTCATCACAGAATTCACCGGCAGCATCTAAAATCAATTGACCAGGTGGTCCAGCCCACAACATCCAACCTATTGTAAGAGCTCTGAGTGCATCTCCAGCTGTTCGGGAAGGGGCACAATAGGCGCTCTGAAATGCAGTGCTGTGATCAATCATGTGATAAAAATGAAATTGAGCCCCTTGAGCATTGGTCCAAGTGATGCCATCCATTGCAACAATGTCCCCGAAATCAAGTGGTTCTTTGATTGCACTGGGTCTTGGAATAGTAGGTGTTTGCGATTCCTGACATGTTGAGCATTTGATATCTGGTACAGCTTTGAGGATTCGTTCATCGCAATTAAGCTGCTTGCACATGTATGTCAGTTTCTGGTGGCCTGGGTGGCCCATGTTCCGATGCAGCTTTAGAAGCCATTGTTGTTCTTCAGGAGATAGTTCAAGGAACTTGGGTCCATGTTTTTGACATGTTAAGTCCACTACTATCCTATCTAACTTCTCACCTGCATCAGTACCTGTTTCTAACCTTTCTGAGATCGGCAGCACGGCCTCGGATGCCAACGGATTTCCACGACTTCTTTTGAGTCGATTCTCATCTTCAGCTACACTTGAACCCTCGCCAGCTCTTTTGTGAGAAGCCCCTTTCACTGCAGATGGTTCATTTTGAGCATCATTTTTCGCCACATCACTGGCTTCCGGCCAGGATTCATATTTTGGTCTGGCAAAAATGGTTATGTTACAGCGGGCTGCTGTACTCTTGCGGCGGAGTTGGCGATAAGACAGGCGTTCCCAATTCTCCCATTCAGGCTCAACCACAACATCTTCAAACCGCCTACGAATGCAGATCATTCTTCGCCATGGTGCTTCTCCGGGAATCAGTCTAGTGTTGGGACCTAACATTCGATCAGTGCCACGACAAACCACCACATGACGGACGACATGATTGGGACACAACGTTCGAACAGCTTCCAGAATCTCTCCCTGTTCCCAAACGACAACTCCGACCCTCGGTGCGGCAACATCTACAGCTTTCATGACATCCAACCATTGCACATTTGGATGTCGGAGCACAATTTGCATCGGTGAGCTCTTCTGTCCCAAGCGACGGCGCTTGGTGGGATGATCTTCCGGTCCGAATTCACTGACTTCATTGGCCAAAACTTCATTGGGATGCAGGTGATTTCGCTTCTGCAAAATTTGACATACCTGCCTAGCGAACTTTCTTGGATAGTTTTCGGTGAACTTTGACACTGACATGCTCTGATGATTGACTTGGGTGCTCCCAGCGATTTGGTAATGCTCATGTAACCCTTGACACTTCTGCCCATCCAGATTTTGTTTCAACTCCACTGATGTTGTACACACTTGAAGACGTTTTCGAATCGGCATCCCAGTGACAGGTTCTTGCAACTTACCAACCCTACAAAGGTCAAAAACGCTTGGGTGTGCTACTGACAGCAAAGGACCTAAGCATGGGAGTTTGAGCATGGCTGATCCATCAGGCTGTTCCAAGTGAAAGTGCTTTGTCATTGCTACTTGATGTTCACACAAAACCACCCCAAGAGCTACTTGCCACAAGCGTTGTCGCCGATCATCCAACACCTTCTGTAAGGCTTCCAGCGATCTTGACATGTTCATGGCTGACCATCGACACCATGGTCCACACTCAGGAGAATACCACACATGTTCTGGCTGTTCCGCACACAAATATGCAAACAACTTTCTTCGACCTGATGGTGTGCTCAGATCGCCAGAAAACATCCCAAACCTTCGTGCTTGCATTCCCAGGTTGTGACATTGTTTTGTCAATTCACTTTCGGATCCACACATGATTTCATAAAGCTTCATCTTTTTCCCTGTTGGCTTGATGATTTGTTGAACACTGGACAATTCTTTGCGAAGACTCTGAATCAATCTTTGACACTCTTTGTGAAAAGTGGGAACTTCGTTGGTTGATGACGCAAATTCAAAGTCCATCAGTTCAATTGGTATTTCCTCACAACCCTTGCCATCATTCTGGGATGCAATCATACTTTCGGCAGCTAGGCTGAATTGTCCTATGACTCGGTCTTTGGCTGAATCAGAAGTCCTTGTGTCGACAGCTGCTGAAGGTGTGAGATCACCTGTGCCAGAGCTTCTTCCACACGCCCCATTCGGCTCTCCATCTCGGTTTGGTTTGACTTGATCCCTGACATTTGCTCCCACTCGGAATCCTCCTCCTCGTCCACTGGTTTGGCCATGCTGTGACTGATTCGATGACTCTCCTCCTTTTTCTTGCTGCACTCTTTGGTCTTGACACTCTTTGTCGAGGTCGGGAAATCCTCTTGGATCATCAATTTGACATACTGGAAGAAACGGCGATGAGACAGCTTCTCGCTGTCCTCGAAACGAGTCAGCATGTAGTTGGTCCAGTCCTTGTCTTGAAAGGCCTGAGCAAATGTCTGATTGACCTTGGCCTTGCCAAAATCGATCTTTGTCTCGGCCAATGTGGCCAAAGGAATCTTCTCGATATCCTCCACCTGGTTCTTTCCCAGGTAAGCTTGGAACTGCTTGTGCAAGGCCATGGCGTCGGGGCTTGCACGGTATTGCACAGGGAGACACGTTTGAGCTTCCGGATGCTGCTGACGATCTTTCTGACGCAGACGGCTGGGCTGGTTCTGACTCTGATCCCTGCTGACGATGTGGTTGACACTGCTTTTCATGGACCTGTTTGCCTTCTACCTTGGTGATATGGGCTTGACATGATGACCTTACGTCGGCTTCCAACTGTTGAAGCTCACTCTCATTCTTTCCGTTCACAAGGCAATCGGGTGCACCCTTCATGGAGAATTCATCACCAGAGCTAGTCGGTCGACCTGCCATTGGTGTCTGTGCTTCAGCTTGGCAAATGGTGCTCTCTTGCGTTTTCCCCCATAAATCATTCATATTCATCATCATTAAGTTCTTTTCATTATGATACACAGGGATATATCGCTTGAGGACCTTACTCCAAAGTGTGCATTCACTGGCATCAATCACAGCTTGAATGGTCTGCAGGAAATTGCTCGAGAGGAGGAAAGGTGTCTTACCCGGCACCACTGCGACACGGAACCATTGTCCATGCAAAGGAAAATGAACTGCCACCTTGCTCTGCAGAGTCTGATGATTGCCAAAACGAAAAATCAGGTCTACCTGTTGGCGCTTGAGCTGGCTTCGGATCTGAGGTTGCAACTGTTCCAACAATTCTTTCAACTGGTCACTACCAATTACTGATTGTGATGCACCTAGATCGACAACACCGGTGGTTCCGGTAGAGCAGAACAAGCTGTGACACTCGGCGGATGCATCAACTTGGCAAATCGGCTTGACCAGGGTTGGTCGGCTCTCACGCAGCTTACTTGTTGGAGACAACTTCCTGGGCGTGTTGGACATCACCCCTGACAGTTTATATTTTAGCCCCTCAGTAAACCGATTACCCCTTGACATCCCACTTATTACCCCAAAACACCATTCCATGTTGTTCCGAGTTTCAGTTGGGTCGTGCCATGGTTCCATGTCATCCAGAAAGCTGGCTATGCCGGTGTCATCATTGGGCTCGACAACGGCAACGGCGGCTGCTTCATGGTCTATGACTACTGAGGTGGGCACCACATTCTTACCATCACTGCTCGAGGCTTGGTTCAGAGGGCACTCGGCCTTCCAATGACCGGTCGCTCCACAGCGTCGGCAGGCGCTCTCAGCAATCCTTTGTGCCAGAGATTTGGATCGAAACCCTTTTCCCTTTTGCTTGCCAAAACCTTTCTTGCCAAACGAACCCTTGCCTTTGCCACTACTCCAGAAACCTCTAGAGCGAGTCTTCTCCACAAGGCGTTTTCTGGCCTCTTGGTATGACGAGAAAAAGGCTGACAATTCTCGATCTTCCTGTACACTGTCGACTACTGCATTTTCGAACTGCACAATCAAGGCTGCGTCTTCATCATCATGTAAGCTAGGATCAATCTCATCCTCATACCAATCCTCTCCAAACCTTGAACCATCATCATGTTGATCATCGCATTCTTCAGCCACAAATGCAGTGTTGTCATATGTTTTGAGAGACTTGTCCTTCTTCCCAAAAGCATATTCTTGAAAGAAAGAGGATCCTAACATGCGAACTGCAGCAGAAACACGTGTCATCTTCAATTCACCAGAGTCCTCTGCCCCTGATTCTACCAGAATTCGCTTTTTGTCCTCCCCTGTCAATCGGCTACCCCGCAGAGTAATGTAGGCCTGCAATTCGGCCAGCGACATTTTCTTCGCCAGAAGTTCTGTCCAAGCCACATCGGCTCGGGCCAAAAACGAATCTGCTGTCTCGTCCGGCTTCTGAACACACCTGAACAAGGCCTTCTCAGCAATCTCGAAACGTTTCTCCAGCTCTACCTGACCAAATGAACCTCCTACCAGTGATACAATTGTCTCAATCCCTTTGCGGTCACCAGTGAAAATTTCAGTTTGGTGAAGCTGTAGCTTCTGAAATGCTGAACCCTTGGTGTTGAGCACGATACGAGTGGCTAACTCAACCAGTTTACCTTCAGGCCAAGCTTGCAACAACAGTCGAATCTTTTGACTCCATGTCTCTACACTATCCACTCCCGGGTCATACGTCGGCACCAATTGCGCCAACTGAGTTTGAACGCTGTCGCGTTGTCCTTCACCTGAAGCAGCTGTTGCCCCATCAGGTATAGTAGCTTGCCCTGACATGTCGGCCAGGGCTCCGCTACCAATCTCAATTGATTGGTAACGGGCCCACCTGTGAACCTAAGGTGTCCTCACCTTGATACCTATGGCGTCCTTGCCAACTTCTATGAAATTCCTATGGCTGCCACGCCAATCCCAAGACTTCAAGCGGCCACGCTTGTTTTCATGGCTCGAAGCGATCCCGCCACGTCCCACCCGCTTTGGGCCGCATTGTCAGCACACATACGGAACTTCTCAAGGGTGACCAGGCTGTCTGGATGCAAAGGGTTGGAACATGTGAATGCTGGATTGACAACATACATACATACATACATACATACATACATACATACATACATACATACATACATACATACATACATACATACATACACACACACATACATACATACATACATACATATATATATATATATATACACACATACATACATACATACAGACAGACAGACAGACAGACAGATAGACATCATCTCGAGCGCCTGCAACAGATATCGCCAAACAAATGACGCCGTCAAGACCTTTTTTCTGGTGTGTTCTAAGATGTTTGCAACATTTTGCAACGACGGTTTTAAAAATGTTCATACCTTTACTACATGTACTGCGCAATTTGCACTTTAAACTTTTAACCCTGTGCACACACCACGCACATGCACAAGCGCGCACATTGCACTCCATACACTGCACCGCATAAACTGCAGTGCACTCACCACACTCAACATTCCACATTGCGCAGCAAAACAAATCAAGCATTGCACAGGGTGCGCTGTGATTCGCTGTTGTTGCTGTGACATGTGCCGCAGCACAATGTGTGCAGCGGACTGCCTGCCATGCAAACAGCATTAAACGGCGTAGAGCACACAGCATGTGCTCGGGTAGTGCGTGTAGGGTAGTGCGCATACCGCGTACCGCAGTTTGTATAGTGCAGGATGTACTTGGTAGTGACGATTACTTGTCCGCAGTGCTGTGTCTTCAAAGGGTCATGTGCACATTGTACAATCTCTGTCATAGGATGTGCAACGTGTCTGATGAATTCCAATAAACAAAGGAATATGCAGTGGTGTAGTTTGCAATACGGTGTGTTCTATGCAGCATGTTTAGCTGTGTACCGTGCAGGGGTGTAGTCTATAGATGGTTCAGTGGACACAGTGCAAAGTGGAATGTGTGCTACTGTAGTCACTGCAGTGAGTGTGCGCTCTGCAGCATGCACATGTGCAGTCAGAGTGTAGTCGCTACGTGGTCAGTACAGCACAGTACAATACAGCACAGCCATGTATGCAGTGCAACGTTTGTGACGCAAAAACAGTTCGTCCATCGAATGCATTTTGCTAACTGTAGAATTGCGAATCGCTGAATCTGGGGAGATCTTGGGAGGCGAAAGACATGATGAAAAACATTCAGAAGAAGATCACGGACGTGGTCGAGGACAAAGCGGCCTTGGGAGGCCGAGCGCTCGACGCTCACTTAGCCAAGACGAGGTGGAAAATAAGAGACAGCTCCCACATAAGATGCGAGATTTTGAAGTTCAGAAAAATAATGCTATAAATCACATGGGGGTCACTGACTTGTCAATGGCCTGCATCCACAACTTTCAATCATAGCTCATTGAAAGCTGAAAGATTTGAACACCGAAGGGCATGGACACGGCATGGACACGGCATGGACACGGCATGGACATGGCACGAAGTTTTGTCACAGTAGAAACGGCTGGGAATTGCCACGAAGACCTGAGCCGCCCGGCCCATGGAAACGGTGCAGGAGCTAAAGGAAACGGTGAAGAACATGACCGACGCGAAGGCGAGAGAAATAGCTTGAGAATTCCTCCAACTTCTCTCAACCATTCCTGTGGCACATTTGTTCCCACCCTCTTTTTACGTTCCAAGATGTCAAGATGTGTTGACACTGCGGTTTCCATCTCTCAGGCTCAACATGGTTCAACGTCATTAGTCATCTTACTTTTTACGACATGGTGACAATATTTTGACCACCCCAATAGTCTAGCCCACTTTTCTTTCAGCGTGGGTAAACAAGAGTTGACCCAAGGAGGCAATGTCTCATGAGGTATCCCCTAAGAGTTGCCAGGCTGGAGCATTTGACTATGCAGACGCCTTTGAATCAGTCAATGGCATGGAAATTGTTGATGCACTTGTCAAACTTCAACTTCAGAAGCAGAACAGAAGAGCCGCAGATTTTCTGGGCAGAGATTTGGAACAGCTCAAAGACGGGAACTTCACAAAGATCTCTGCAGATGCCAGGAACCACATGTGCACTACTGCGTTGCATGTGGCAGCAAGGGGTGGCCGCGTTGATTTCATCGAAGCTTTGATCAAGGCAAAGGCAGATGTCAATGCGAAGAACAAATGGCAGTCGACACCTTTGCATTTGGCTGCTGACAACAACCATCTGAAAGCAGTCGAGGCATTGCTCCTTGCTGGGGCTGATGTCCAGGCCAAGAATGTTGATGGAAAAACGCCTTTGGACTTGGCCAAGAAATACAATCATTCTGCCGTGGTAAAGCTACTGGAGGCTGCTCGAAAGTGATGAACATGGTGTGCCCAGAGATGGATTTGGCCAAGGAAGCTGTCCAAGTAAGATCAAGTACAGGAAGATCAAGCAATCATGGAAGTGACTGACCAAGCTTCCACTGCCTGGACTTTGCAGAAAAATTGTCCTTCTGCTGCTTGAACTCATGAAGTCCTAGCATATTTTGGCATGTTTCTGGCCAGTTTGGCAGCAGAATAGCCCTTGAAAACGATGACTGTTTTCTCGGATCTTTTAGATTTGTTTACTCAGTTCATTTCCTTGATGGTGCCCATTTTGTACACATGTATACAAATGTGCTCACGAAAAATTGCTTTAGACATGTAGAACCGATAGGGGGTCACCATATCACCGACAGTGCTCGCTGCAGGTCTCATTTCTGCAGATCACATCGAATGCGCCGCTCAGAACTTGCTCAGATACTCGGTGGCATTTCGGGCAGTTTGAACAGCGAAGATGAAGAAAGTTGGAAGGTTTGAAGCGGTACAGCGGTGCTCATGCACTGGACCCCAGCTAGCAAATATTGGGCTGATGTTGTACTCACGCTGTGTCTTGCTTGATGGTTGATATGGTTGCTTGCTATCGGCCACCCCTACAGCTGGCATCTAAGTATGCTGTGGAGTATGGCATAGAGATGCGTAGACATGCATAGACCGAAGAGAGACTTGCTCAAAACGGCCAGTGTTTGTGCTCATAGGATTTCAAAACGTGCGTTGCTGTTGCAGGTCAGAGCCAGAGAGTCCATAGAGCGGAAGCTTCAAGGAGAATGAAGGACTTCCAAGGCCGGGCCGCAGGATTTAGCTCAAAACGTCTCAGAAGGGAATTTTAATTGCCGGCCCAGCAGCACTTGGTCGCTAACTGTGTTGTAACTAGAACTTGGTTGTCAGAGAGTTTTGTAAGCAAAGCCTGGGTGCTAAACCGTTTTGTAAGCAAAACTTGGTTGCTAACTGTGTTGTGACTAGAACTTGGTTGTCAGAGAGTTTTGTAAGCAAAGCCTGGGTGCTAAACCGTTTTGTAAGCAGAACTTGGTTGCTAACTGTGTTGTGACTAGAACTTGGTTGTCAGAGAGTTTTGTAAGCAAAGCCTGGGTGCTAAACCGTTTTGTAAGCAGAACTTGGTTGCTAACTGTGTTGTAACTAGAACTTGGTTGTCAGAGAGTTTTGTAAGCAAAGCCTGGGTGCTAAACCGTTTTGTAAGCAGAACTTGGTTGCTAACTGTGTTGTGACTAGAACTTGGTTGCCAGAGAGTTTTGTAAGCAAAGCTTGGGTGCTAAACCGTTTTGTAAGCAGAACTTGGTTGCTAACTGTGTTGTAACTAGAACTTGGTTGTCAGAGAGTTTTGTAAGCAAAGCCTGGGTGCTAAACCGTTTTGTAAGCAGAACTTGGTTGCTAACTGTGTTGTGACTAGAACTTGGTTGCCAGAGAGTTTTGTAAGCAAAGCTTGGGTGCTAAACTGGTTTGTAAGCAGAACTTGGTTGCTAACTGTGTTGTAACTAGAACTTGGTTGTCAGAGAGTTTTGTAAGCAAAGCCTGGGTGCTAAACCGTTTTATAAGCAGAACTTGGTTGCTAACTGTGTTGTGACTAGAGCTTGCTTGGTTGCCAGAGAGTTTTGTAAGCAAAGCTTGGGTGCTAAACCGTTTTGTAAGCAGCACTTGGTCGCTAACTGTGTTGTAACTAGAACTTGGTTGTCAGAGAGTTTTGTAAGCAAAGCCTGGGTGCTAAACCGTTTTGTAAGCAGAACTTGGTTGCTAACTGTGTTGTGACTAGAGCTTGCATGTTTGCCAGAGAGTTTTGTAAGCAAAGCTTGGGTGCTAAACCGTTTTGTAAGCAGAACTTGGTTGCTAACTGTGTTGTAACTAGAACTTGGTTGTCAGAGAGTTTTGTAAGCAAAGCCTGGGTGCTAAACCGTTTTGTAAGCAGAACTTGGTTGCTAACTGTGTTGTGACTAGAACTTGGTTGCCAGAGAGTTTTGTAAGCAAAGCTTGGGTGCTAAACCGTTTTGTAAGCAGAACTTGGCTGCTAACTGTGTTGTAACTAGAACTTGGTTGTCAGAGAGTTTTGTAAGCAAAGCTGGGTGCTAAACCGTTTTGTAAGCAGAACTTGGTTGCTAACTGTGTTGTGACTAGAACTTGGTTGCCAGAGAGTTTTGTAAGCAAAGCTTGGGGTGCTAAACCGTTTGTAAGGAGAACTTGGTTGCTAACTGGTTGTGTAGCTAGAACTTGGTTGTAGAGAGTTTTGTAAGCAAAGCCTGGGTGCTAAACCGTTTTATAAGCAGAACTTGGTTGCTAACTGTGTTGTGACTAGAGCTTGCTTGGTTGCCAGAGAGTTTTGTAAGCAAAGCTTGGGTGCTAAACCGTTTTGTAAGCAGCACTTGGTCGCTAACTGTGTTGTAACTAGAACTTGGTTGTCAGAGAGTTTTGTAAGCAAAGCCTGGGTGCTAAACCGTTTTGTAAGCAGAACTTGGTTGCTAACTGTGTTGTGACTAGAACTTGGTTGTCAGAGAGTTTTGTAAGCAAAGCTTGGGTGCTAAACCGTTTTGTAAGCAGAACTTGGTTGCTAACTGTGTTGTAACTAGAACTTGGTTGTCAGAGAGTTTTGTAAGCAAAGCTTGTGTGCTAAACCGTTTTGTAAGCAGAACTTGGTTGCTACCTGTGTTGCAACCAGAACCTGGTTGTCAGAGAGTTTTGTAAGCAAAGCTTGGGTGCTAAACCGTTTTGTAAGCAGAACTTGGCTGCTAACTGTGTTGTAACTAGAACTTGGTTGTCAGAGAGTTTTGTAAGCAAAGCTTGGGTGCTAAACCGTTTTGTAAGCAGAACTTGGTTGCTAACTGTGTTGTGACTAGAACTTGGTTGTCAGAGAGTTTTGTAAGCAAAGCTTGTGTGCTAAACCGTTTTGTAAGGAGAACTCGGTTGCTAACTGTGCTGTAGCTAGAACTTGGTTGTAAGAGAGCTTTGTAAGCAAAGCTTGTGTGCTAAACCGTTTTGTACGCAGAACTTGGTTGCTAACTGTGTTGTGACTAGAACTTGGTTGCCAGAGAGTTTTGTAAGCAAAGCTTGGGTGCTAAACCGTTTTGTAAGCAGAACTTGGTTGCTAACTGTGTTGTAACTAGAACTTGGTTGTCAGAGAGCTTTGTAAGCAAAGCTTGGGTGCTAAACCGTTTTGTAAGCAGAACTTGGTTGCTAACTGTGTTGTGACTAGAACTTGGTTGTTAGAGAGTTTTGTAAGCAAAGCTTGTGTGCTAAACCGTTTTGTAAGCAGAACTTGGTTGCTAACTGTGTTGTAGCTAGAACTTGGTTGCCAGAGAGTTTTGTAAGCAAAGCCTGGGTGCTAAACCGTTTTGTAAGCAGAACTTGGTTGCTAGCTGTGTTGTGACTAGAACTTGGTTGCCAGAGAGTTTTGTAAGCAAAGCTTGTGTGCTAAACCGTTTTGTAAGCAGAACTTGGTTGCTAACTGTGTTGTAACTAGAACTTGGTTGCCAGAGAGTTTTGTAAGCAAAGCTTGGGTGCTAAACCGTTTTGTAAGCAGAACTTGGTTGCTAACTGTGTTGTAACTAGAACTTGGTTGCCAGAGAATTTTGTAAGCAAAGCTTGTGTGCTAAACCGTTTTGTAAGCAGAACTTGGTTGCTAACTGTGTTGTAACTAGAACTTGGTTGTCAGAGAGTTTTGTAAGCAAAGCTTGGGTGCTAAACCGTTTTGTAAGCAGAACTTGGTTGCTAACTGTGTTGTGACTAGAACTTGGTTGCCAGAGAGTTTTGTAAGCAAAGCTTGGGTGCTAAACTGGTTTGTAAGCAGAACTTGGTTGCTAACTGTGTTGTAACTAGAACTTGGTTGTCAGAGAGTTTTGTAAGCAAAGCTTGGGTGCTAAACCGTTTTGTAAGCAGAACTTGGTTGCTAACTGTGTTGTGACTAGAACTTGGTTGTTAGAGAGTTTTGTAAGCAAAGCTTGTGTGCTAAACCGTTTTGTAAGCAGAACTTGGCTGCTAACTGTGTTGTAACTAGAACTTGGTTGTCAGAGAGTTTTGTAAGCAAAGCTTGTGTGCTAAACCGTTTTGTAAGCAGGACTTGGTTGCTAACTGTGTTGCAACTAGAACTTGGTTTTCAGAGAGTTTTGTAAGCAAAGCTTGGGTGCTAAACCGTTTTGTAAGCAGAACTTGGTTGCTAACTGTGTTGTAGCTAGAACTTGGTTGCCAGAGAGTTTTGTAAGCAAAGCTTGGGTACTAAACCTTTTTGTAAGCACCACTTGGTTGCTAACTGTGTTGTAACTAGAACTTGGTTGTCAGAGAGTTTTGTAAGCAAAGCTTGGGTGCTAAACCGTTTGGTAAGCAGGACATGGTTGCTAACTGTGTTGTAACTAGAACTTGGTTGTCAGACTGTCAGAGAGTTTTGTAAGCACAACTTGGGTGCTAAACCGTTTTGTAAGCAGAACTTGGTTACTAACTGTGTTGTAAGTAGAACTTGGTTGTCAGAGAGTTTTGTAAGCAAAGCTTTGTGCTAAACCGTTTTGTAAGCAGAACTTGGTTGCTAACTGTGTTGTGACTAGAACTTGGTTGTCAGAGAGTTTTGTAAGCAAAGCTTGGGTGCAAAACCGTTTGGTAAGCAGAACTTGGTTGCTAACTGTGTTGTAACTAACTTGGTTGTCAGAGAGTTTTGTAAGCAAAGCTTGGGTGCTAAACCGTTTTGTAAGTAGAACTTGGTTGCCAGAAAGTTTTGTAAGGAGAACTTATGTGCTAGACCCTTTTCCATCCCTATGTAAGCGAAGGAAGTTTAGAAGTCAAACTTCCGACAATATGGACGGATGAAAAGCAGAGACGGGAAGAGTCAGAGAGAAGAGAAGAGTAGAAGAGAGAAGATCAGAGAAGAGAAAGAGTCAGAAGAAAGAAGATGGAGATGCGCGAAAAGGTAGGAAAGTCGCGAGACACTGTGTTTTTCCAATGATTTGTGGCTCCGGAAGGTCGAAAAGTAGGCTCGCTAAAGCGGCGGGTGCGGAGCCATCGGGCCAG